TAACTTAGCTGCCTATAATAATAGTGCTAAAAGTTTTAGGTTGGAAAGTTAAGCAGGAAAGTAAATGAAAGCTATGTTGATAGAAAAGAAGAAATAAAACTTATTTTCAGGCTACATGATTGTCTTTGTAGGAAATTCCTATAATTCTAAACAAAACAAAAACAAAAAACAAATTTTAATGACTTCTAAAATCTCCTAAATCTATTCATTTCAGATGCTAATTTTTGGATTGGGTCTTTCAATTTGGGAGGTCTAATTTTTTTCAAATTTTTGTATGTTCTAGATATTAGCTCTTTATCTGAGGGACTACTGGCTAAAAATTTTTTCCTACTCTGTGGGATGTCTCTTCTCTGTTAGTGATTTCTTTTGTGGTGGAAAAACTTTTTAATAGGATGAGATCCCAGTTGTTCAGTCTTTCCACTACTTTTCATGCAGTCTGGGCTTTGTTCATGAAGTCATTGCCTAACCCTATGTCCTCAATAGTTGTACCTGTTCTCTCTTCAAGCAGATTTAGTTTTCTCTTTTAATATTTAGATCTTTGCTCCATTTTGATTTTAGTTTAGTGCATGGTGACATATGTGGGTCTAGTTTTAATCTTCAGCATGTAGAAAGCCAGTTTTTCAGCACCATTTATTAAAGAGGCTGTGTTTCCTCCAGTAAAAATGTTTGGCCCCTTGGTCCGAGATAAGGTGCTGAGTGTATCTGTTGCTGTTTCTGTCTCTTCTAGTCTGTTCCATTGATCCTTAGGTCTGTATTTTTACCAGTACCATGCTATTTTTATCACAATAGCTTTATATTATAATTTCAAGTCACAGATTGTGATGCCCATGCCTTGCCTTTGTTGCTCAATTGTTTTTGCTATTCTAGGTTTCTTCGGTTTCCAAATGAATTTTAGGAATGTTTTCTCTAGTTCTGTGAAGTACGCTAATGGTAATTTGATTGGGATTGCATTAAACCTGTATGACAATTTGGGGAGTATGGCTATTTTCACTCTGCTGGTTCTTCTTACCTATGAGTAAGGGATATTTTTCCATCTTCTGATATCCTCAGATGAAGAACTAAAAATGGCAAGCAAATACATGAAAAAATGCTCAACATCACTGGTCATCTGAGAGATGCAAATTAAAACACCAAGATTCCATCTCACTCCAGAAAGAATGGCTATTATCAAGCCAACCAATAACAAATGCTAGTGACTATTGTGGAAATCAGTGTGGAGATTCCTCAGAAAATTAAATTTAGAATGCCCATTTGAACTAGCTATTCCCCTGCTGGATATCTTCCTGAAGAAATTAAAAGTATCATACAACAATGATATATGCACACCCATTTTTGTAATGACACCATTTGTAATAGTTAAATCTTAGAAACAACTCAAATTCCCATCAACTGATGAAAAGATGTGAGGTTTCTTTATATAACGGAGTACTACTCAGCCATAAAAAAGATGAAGTTGAGATATTTTAGCTAAATGGATGCAAGTTTAGACTCATACTCTTAAGGGAAATAATTTTAGGTGAAATATTTTGTGTCAGCAATGAGAAAAGTAACTAAGATTGTAGGCAACTGACAAAGTGTCCAAAATACCTGAGATGGAGGTAGACATTTCAGCTACCTTGTACTCATAGACAGAGGACGGTACTATCATCTCACTGGCAACAGACCTCCCCAGGGAGAGGAATGCCACTGGTGCTTTGACGAACATCTTATGCCTTTAATTTTCCACTTCTAGGTAGCACTTAACTATGACACTACCAGGTTAAAAATATATTTTGTTTTATTTAAAATTAATCTGGGACTGCAGTATCACCTGCCTGACAATATGCATTCTGTAAACAGAAATAGACAATGAGAGAGAAGGGAGGATTTTCTAAAGGCACTCATCCAATTAGGGATAGCTGTGCTCTGTTGATTTCTATTAAATGTCAGTGGGAGAGAGCTATTATCCTTGATTTCATCTAGTGATGGTTATGGCCACCTTAATTGCACTGGTTATAAATTAGGAAGGTTTGGCTTGATCCACAAAATACAATTACTTATATTGACATTATAAGGTGGCTTATGCTAATGATTTTTGTTTTAATCTTAGTAACCAGTAATACATGTGACTACTCACTCTGGTACATGTACATAAATACATACATTTGTGGACATGTGCTCACATGTGCACACATATGTAATTTGTTGTAAGCTCATTATAATGTCCAAACCACCGTGGTGAAGAAGATAACCTTGAAAGCACAGTTGGGCACAGTTGGAAGAAAAAGGCACTATCATTTTACCTGCTTCCTATGTGCCACACTGTCTGCTTGGGGGCTTTACATATGTTATCTTATTTAATCCTCATCACATAGCATGTACATTAGTTGTGATTATCCCTGTGTGGAGATAAGGATGCCAAGGCTGAGTGAAGTAAGATAAGATGATTAGTAATGTCACTTTCCTGCTTGTTAAACTTGTAAGATTTCCCCTTTCTCCTCAGTGTAAATTTATTAATTCTTTGTAACTCATCCCAGTTGCCAAGCTGAGTTCTGACTTCTGCCAAGTTCCCCAGTTTCACTTAGGCCCCTCTCCCCCTTGCAGTAGATTTTCCAGCCATACTGATATTTGTTAAATTCATTTAATTTTCCATATTTTTCTGATCTGGGACCGTTGTTCATGTTATTCTCTCTGCCTAGACTACTCTCTTCTGTGTCCATTTGCACTCACTATCTCCTTCATACTTGTTCTTCAGATCGCAGCTTACATGTCACATCCTCAGATTCTGAGGAAACCTCTGCACTGTCTTATTGACTCTATAGTATTTTTTGGGATCCTTTTATTGTATTGTGTATCTCCTCCCTACTTTCATCATATACTTTTATATATAACCATGTGTTCAGGGTCTATTTTCCTCACTTAATGAAGCTTCTTATCCATATACTGTCCTTTTCTTTGCTCTATCCCTAACATCTACTATAGTGCTTGGCATATGATAGGTGATTGATAAATACCTGTTGAATGAGTTTCAACATTATCACTCTATATCTTATATATTGTAAGTGCTCAACCATTAGAGTTCATTATATAATTGGAGTTGTTGTTATTGTCTAAAGGCAAATAAATAGTCAAGGGCAGAACCATCATTTATACCCACATATGATCTAAAGTGTACGTTCCTTTCATACTATGACTTTACTGGCAGAAATTGATTCTGGGCCCAATACTGCCCTACCTGGTTATATGAATCAGTGTAAGGCACTATACCTCTCTGAATCTCAATTTTGCCTCCTGTAAAATTAGGGTAGGGGAAAGCAGATTGTTCTATATGTGACCTAGAAGAGGAGAACAGAAGCCTAAATGTGAGAGGATCTAAATAAGTAATTGGCCAACATAAACCAGTATCATTTCTCTGCAAGACAGTTGAACAGGTATACCAAGAACACTTGATATGTTTATGCACTTCAGCCTGGTAACCCCAGTTAATGATGGTGTGTAGTAATGAGTGGTTTGTAAGTTCAAATCTCAACAATCAGTTTATTAACTTTATAGTCCTGGGAAACTTACTATTCTGAACCCCAGTTTCTTTCTTTAAAAAGGGAATAACAACCATACCTTTACATCTTTCTAAAGCAAATACAATAAAATAACATTGAAAAGTTTATTGAGTACAGAAAGAGAAGAACTCCCATCATTCTGCCCATTTAACACAGTTCTTTCTGTGATCCTTGGCCATTGAGGGACACCTCTTGAAGCAGGAGCCTCAGGAAGTGCTATGAGAAAAATACTGAAGACAGAAGCTGGCTGATTCAGAAGTCAAAGGCCAAGGTGTGGGGCTGGAGTATCAATGGGATAGGCTGGGATAGAGGAGCAGGCTAACTACAGAGGCAGATAAAAGGAGATGTCAAATATGAGTAAGGGGAAAATAGTTAGACAGGTTTTGAGAATCAGGGAGTAAGGGGGCCAGTGGCATGACAGCAATATGCCTCAGAAGGGCCTCCTTCCAATAATTTATAGCCTTCTTCTGTAGGTAGACTTCAAATGGTGTTAAATGTCCTTGAAACCACATCTTTCCAGTTCCTTTTCTTCTTTAGTCACATGCATATATATTTTGAAATTGCAATCTTACTGCAGATACTTTCAATCTTAATGAATATACATTTTCATTGAGTAAGAATTTTCAACGTTTTCCATGTTGCAAATCTCTGACTGCCAAATATTCTAGTTTTGCCCATAGCCCAGAAAATACATCTCTGTACAGTAACTTATTGTTTATTTGATTCAGCTCCTTAGAATAAACTTCCAGATGTCAGAATCCTAAACCAGATGATATATAATTGAAGTTTAATCCCTATAAATATTTTTTAAAGAAAGGAATAATCACAAATAATTCCCTTCCTACTTCTAGAACTGATGAGTGACACAATAGCTGTGCTTATCTGGTATGAGAGCAATTAGCCATATGTGGTTGTTGAAATGTATATTTTAGTTTATTAAAATTAAATTTTAAATTTACTTCCTAAATTACATGAAATGCATTTTAAGTGCTCTACAGTCTAGGGCCATTGTGTTAGAAAGCACAGATACAAAATACTTCTATCAGTACAGAAAATTTATGGGACAGTGTTGCTCCAGACTTTCTCAAGAAGTTGCTCTTTGCAACTTAGATAGAATTTCTTTGTGGTTTGGAACTTTTCTGTTCATTGAGAAACTGTTAAAATCTCTGGCCCATGTCCATTGTGTATACTTCTTTGAATCAATCTAATACCTAAAACTCATCTCATATTTGCAAATGAACCAAGGAAACAAAATCAACCATATCTGACATCCACTGAGCTTTGTTCTTAAAAGCAAGCATCTTCTAATATTTCTATGGGATAGTTTCTGGGTAGCTTTGCCTAGAGAGAGACATGTTGAAAAGATAGGTTAGAAAGGAAACCCTGGCTCATGGCCTAATTCTGTTCTCCATTTCCACTTTCCTTCTCTCTTCTGGCCTGTTTATTGCTTTTGGGAAACTGCAGGAACAAGACCTTGCAGATGGAGAAGATCAAAGCCCGGCTGAAGGCTGAGTTTGAGGCACTTGAGTCAGAGGAAAGGCACCTGAAGGAATACAAGCAGGAGATGGACCTCCTGTTACAGGAGAAGATGGCCCATGTGGAGGAACTCCGACTGATCCATGCTGATATCAATGTGGTATGTGCCTGCCTACCTGGTGCTTGTAAGCCCCTTAAGAAAAAAGCTGTAGTGAGTTCTGTGGCCTTTCCTTGAGATGTACCTGTGAATACCCTTGGGAAGTAGGCATCAGACTGTGGTAGAGTGAAGGAATCTGATTTTTGAGACCCACCCTGAAATTTGTCACTGATTGCCCACTTATCACTGGGCAAGTCCCTTCTCTCTGGGCCTCAGTTTTTCTCTTAGCACCATGAAAGGGATACAGTAACCTCCAAAGGCTCTTCTAACCATGATGTGCTCTCATTCTTGGAGTCTGAGAGGTAAGAGATAATAGCCTTGGGAAAAAGTAGAGCAGGGAACCTGCCTCTGGGGCACAGCTAAAAGTGCTCCAATGCTTCCAAGCAGACTGAACAAATCACCTGTGCTCAATTATCAAATAGAACTCCCTTGTTGGAGTCTCCCTTTTGGAAATTCTTGGAACATGAGAAATTAATCGACTGCTGAGCTGATAAGCTTCCTCCTTTGGGAGTAATTAAAGCGGAGTCTAGAGTGCTGTGCTGATGATTGTGTCACAAGGAAGGAGGTTAGAGTACTGACCTGTAAAGTAATTTCCAATCCATAGAGCCTATGAATATAAGAATTTTTTAAAAAATCACTTTTCAAGGAGTAAAGTCTATTCTTAGGAAACTCATTTCTGTTGAAATACTCATTTTCTGCTATTATCAGGCCTACGATCTTAAAAGAAATATAAAGATTTGAATACCAGGAACTTTTCTTCTGGTAGAGATCAGATTCCTACTTCTCATGAGGAACTGGCAGTTTTGCTGCCAGCAAACCAAAGTCATGGAGCCAATGAAATGAAGATATTTGCCACAGAGGGGCTGAAAATCTAAGCCAATCTCAGATTTGAAAAATCAGAGTCACCTGGAAAACATGTTAAAACACAAATTGTCAGACTGTACTCTATGACAAACAACAGCCCATATCATACTAAATGATCAAAAATTGAAAACTTTCACTCTAAAATTAGGAATAAGAAAAGGATGCCCACTATCACCAGTCTTATCCAATAATAGTTCTGGAAACATTAGCCAGAATAAGTACACAAGAGAAAGAAATAAAAGGAATAAAGACAGGAAATGAAGAAGTTAAATTATTATTTGTAGATGACATGATATTCTATATAGAAGACCCTCAAAACTCCACCAAAAGACTCCTAGAATTAATAACCAAATTCAGTAGCATGGTGGGATACAAAGTCAACACTCAAAAAATTCATAGCATTTCTATACACAATCAACTAACTCACTAAGAGAGAAATTAGGGAAACCGTACCTTTCATAACAGCATCAAAAATAGTGAAATACTTAGGAATCGATTTAATGAAGTAAAAGACCTTTACATTGAAAATGACAGTACTCTGAAAAAAAGAGATCAAAGAAGGTATCAGAAATTAGAATAGCAGTTATTAGGAAGCAGAATTTGTAGTTTTATGTATCTGGTTGGAGCCTGAGAATTTGCATTTCTGAGCTCCTGATTGATGCTGATGCTGCTGATCTGGCAACTGCATTTTGAAAACCACTGATCTAGGAGAAAGGACAGAAGCTTTGAATCTTTGCTCCTAAGAAAAATTTTCCCTGGAGAAGTTCCCTCATCTCTGAGCTTTGGTTCTTTCATCAGTAAAATAGACTTAGGGTGAACTAAATGAATGCTGAAGTCCATTCCGACTCTGAGATGTTGCAATTGAACTATACTGTTTATTGAGCCTTTAGTCTGTTAGCCCCTGTATTAATGTGCTTTATATAAATTTGACCATTGAATCTTCACTAAGATTGCCTGAGATACACTATTAAACTATCACCATTACAAAAATGAAGAAACATGATTGACCAGAGTATATGGCAAATTGAGGATTTAAACATAAATTGGCCTGGATCTGGAGCCTGTGTTACTGTCCACTCAGTTATAAAACATCTCCAAGAAATTTAGGGTATTTTTTTCTGTGTCTACCCCACTCTGTTTTCCAGATGGAAAACACCATCAAACAGTCTGAGAATGACCTAAATAAACTACTAGAGTCTACCCGGCGGCTACATGATGAGTATAAGCCCTTGAAGGAACATGTGGATGCTCTGCGTATGACTCTGGGCTTGCAAAGGCTTCCTGACTTATGTGAAGAAGAGGAGAAGCTCTCCTTGGAGTAAGCTGTTTGACCTCTGTCTACCCCCTCCCATACACACAGAAGCATGTATACATGCACAAAACCTGGCCTGAAAGTCAGGGTACCTAGTCCTAGTCTTAGGCTTGTCAATAACTGGCTCATTGTATAACTTTGGGCAAGTCTCTATCCTGGGCTTTTAACTAGAAGAAAGATAACTAAACTAGAATTACAGAATGGCTTCTGTAATTCTTTGCATGATTTTGACAAGACTGACTATGACTCTTAAGAGGTCACTTCTAAAGTCCCGGTTTCTAAAGGATGTTCAGAAAACTTTTAAAACACAATATGTTTAACTTTTATAGTCTTCTTCAGTTAGTCTGAGGCTTCATCTTGTGACCTAGAGTTAAGAAATAGGCTTACCTTAAATGCAGACAAATTTCAGCCCAGTAAAAGGAAGCATTTCCTACATGTAGAGCAGATTGTCTATGGAAGTGTTGAGCTTCCTATTCCTGAAATATGTAAAGATATACATCTGGGTATGCTTAATAGGCATACTACAAATGACCATGGGATGGAAGTGGCCTTGGGAACCTTGCTAGCCCTGAGATTTCTTGATCATCTTGGGTGTGTCAGAGCCAAGGAAAAGTAAGGTTAACATTCCTAGCGGATAATTAATCTGGAACCCATGGAAAAGAACCTTGTATTGGGCAGGGTTTAGGAACATTCTGAAGGAACTGTGGTCTAACCCGTGGTTCTTGGTATGCGATCTTTAAAGAGGGGCAAAGTTCTTGCTTTCAGAATGATCCAGCCAGTTTCTCTCATCTCCAAAGTTACTTTGAGAAGCAGAAAGCAGAATGGCAGACAGAGCCTCAGGAGCCCCCTATCCCTGAGTCCTTGGCCGCTGCCGCCGCTGCCGCCCAACAACTCCAAGTGGCTAGAAAGCAGGACACTCGGCAGACAGCCACCTTCAGGCAGCAGCCTCCACCTATGAAGGTATGTGAGCTACATAGGGGTTGTGTAGGAAGCAAAGTATCCTCCCATGGAAGGCCTATGGGGTCTGGGACTTTAGCCTTGTCTTGGGGGGTCTTCCTTAAACATCCTTTTCTTGGGGCACAGAGAAAGGGGTGCTATGTTGGGTCTTCTGATTTTGTTGTCCCACATTCCTAGAGTAGATAGGATGCAAGAAGTTTGTCAGTCCTTGCTAAAGTATAATTTTCTGAAAGTAAGAAACCTTTATATGTATAGTGAGCATGTGTCATTAATGAGGGAGCAAGCAAGATTACAAAGCAGCTTCTAGAAATATCTGAAGAACAGATAAATTCAAGAAAAAAATAGATTAACTCCACTAAATACCATGTAAGGTGAAAAATCTATAGTATTTACTATTTTGGCCTTTACTGAAAACTTTGCTGATTTCTGTCCCAAGAAAATTTGATAATCTCTGGGTGGTCCTGTTATAGACAAGGGTTTAGTATAATGCTGAATTGACCTGTAGTCCTTCTTCTGCCTGATTTCTTAGTTTTGCATGCATCTTCTCAGCATCCCTCTATGACCTGATTATATCCTTTATTCATCTTCTGCAGCCTCCAAGAGCACTGATTTCTATGTGGGTCTCTTACTGATTACTGTCCCCTCTTGATTGGATATCACATTGTTTTTAGGGCCACTGAGAATCAGAAGTCTGAGCCATTGCCTAGAGGAATCTGTGCACTAACTTCTTTGTCCTGTGCTCCCACCAGGCCTGTTTGTCATGCCACCAGCAAATTCACCGGAATGCACCCATATGCCCTCTGTGCAAAGCCAAAAGTAGGTCCCGGAACCCCAAGAAGCCCAAACGGAAGCAGGATGAATGAAGAGAAGGGGAACACATGGAACTTTTCTGCTCAGCCCCTTGGCCAGAAAAATTGTTGATGTCCTAATGTGGAAAAAAAAAAACAAAAAAACCTTCCCAACCCTTATCGTGTCTCCTATTTAATGTGATAAAAAGCACAACCTTTCTCTCACTTTGCTCTAATTTCTTTCTGTGCTTTGCATATTTCTAGTTTAGGAAGAGGGGTTCAGGTGCTGATGATTGTGATGATCCCTTCTTTACAACCAACATTTTAGCCTCTACCCTTGTTTGGAGCTGAGGGAAGGGTGAAAGACCCACATATAATTCTCTGTCACTTGTGTTTGAGGCCTGAATCTTGAGAGATGTGGGACCTGAGGACTGGGGGAAGCCTTGTTTCAGGAAAAACCTTCAGTGTTTCTTTCCATGTATCTTTGCCTTATGCTCTGAAAGGACCACAATCTTGCTGGACTTTCCAATAAGCTGAGTGTATATATCTCCCTCATCCTCACACTGATCCTTAAGGCCCAGAGGTAGCTTAGACAAACCTTCATTTTCATATTCATTTGTGAGACCTAGATGTTATTCTATAACTCTCCCTATTCAGGTCTCCCAGTTATACTAAAGTTCTTAGTTCTTAGCTGTGTGTCTAGGGATCCTGATATCTGTAGGCCTTTTCCCCATACCTCTAATCTTTACTAATCTCTAAAAGTTTCCCACAGAAAAAATAAGGAGCTGGACTCACTCTACACATCCTTCCTAACTCGCTGCCTAAGACAGTGGGGTCGACGGCTCTATTATGGGGGCTTCCTTAGATTAAGAGGGACTCCAGGCTGATACTGGTGTGCCCAACAGTTTAAAATTACAACAGTTTGAAAGGCCTAAAACTCCCCCAACTCCAACTCCACAGGTCTCTTTTCCACCAAAGCCGAGTCTACTAGTCAAGTCACTTTTGGACTTAAAGGATGAGAATGGGACAGGCTGAATGAAAATTTTTAGCCCCAAGTCTTAGCCCCTGGCTTGAGCAGGGAGATGTCTTTCCTTCTTTCCTTACTTGTAGCTTTATGTTGCCACAGTATATATGTTCATAATATGAAAGATTCCTCTGCTCTTTGAAATTAAGAGTGTTATGTCTGTACAAATCTTTTTAAATAAACATTTGTTCATTGGAGTAATGCTGACTGAGTGCTACTGTGTAAAGGATAATATAAAAGATGCAATACCATTTACCATTTAGGATAGCTTTTTGCTTTTATTCATTCCAACTTAGAAATGAGAAAGCCAATCATCATGGTGCAATAATTTACCCAATTATCATAATAATTTCTGTTTACTCAATACCTACTCTGTGCCAGGTCTATATGCAAGATACTTTATACAAATGATTGTATTTAATTTTTAAATCAGTCTTACAAGTTATGTTCTTACTATAATTTTCAAAACAAAGCAAACAGAAGTTAAATAACTTATTCAGAATTAACTAGGAAAAGGAAGGCTCCAAATTTGAGCCAGATTTTTCTGATTCTAGAGCCCATTTTATTTCTACTTATCCATCATATTGTCCTCTTTAACCATTTCTCCTTTTGGGAATAGCTTGTTGGAGGAGGAGGTTGCAATAACTCTCAATGTAAAACTGGAGACTAAATATCTAGTGACTTATTCATGCAGGGCTAAAAAGACCTGGTCCCTTATAGGAATAAAATAGAACTCGGAAGGGGTGTCTCAGCTTTAGAACACCGTACAGGGTGTATGCTGGTTGCCATTAGGATTGCATCATAGCTCATCATGTCCCTTTATCGAATCCTTTCCACTTGACTTCCCTTTCCTTCTGTGCTATTTATTTATCTTTCTTTGTATCAGTATTGATCCCAAAGTCTCCTGAATTATTACCCTGATGTCACTAAAATGTCTCAGTACCAAGAAGCTTAACAGCTGACAAAACCCTCTGGGCCTCACTGTCCTCATCTGGCAAATTGGGGAAATAGCACCTACTTCATGAGCAATGCCAGGTATATAGTTTGCACTCAAGCGTTAATTTCTCTCTCTTCCCTGTCACTGGGATCATGTAGATTGGAGGACAAGTCAAAACACTATTCATCCTGTCTGACATTACTCCATCATCTGAGGTTTTAGTTTCATTACAAGCCTGTTTTTGAGGTTGCCCCAGCTCATCCTGAGCAAAGGGAGGGCACCAAGCTGTACAAATGTGGTTGTACTTTAATCTGCATAGGCTCAGTGGGTCCCTTTACAGTATAGGAGGCACAGTAATTGCGCTGCATTTTTTGGTGGAATAGAAGTCAGGTCTGTTGATTCTGTTATACTAAAAGTAAAAGAAGTTGTTCTCTGAGAGCCACAAGACAGGCAAGCCAGGGCTTCCCTTCTGACTGGGAAGAGAATAATCATGTGTTGAGCACTTACACTTGTCAGACACTTGGTGCTGCTATCTCATGACACTGCTATCTCATTTAGTCTTTTTAGATTATTTGTGTGAAACAATGTAACCCAAATTAACTGATTTAAAACAGCCATTTATTGCTCATGTTTCAACTGTTTGAGCGAGACCAACTGGGAATGGCTCATTTCTGTTCCACATATTATTGCTTCAGACAGCTTGGCTGGGACTTGGGGGCTGGTGGTCGCAAGATCCCTGCACTCTCATCTGGCATCTGAGCAGGAGGTGGCTGGAACAGCTGTGCACTAAGTTTCTCTCTTTTGAACCTCCAGGACCTTTTTCTATATGCCTCTCTTTACAGTAGTCAGACTTCTTCACCTGACAACTAGTTTCCACACCAAAGCCATAAGGACTTTTGTGACATAAAACCAGAAGTTATGCAGCAACACAGCTGCTTCAGCACAATTGATGAAAGCAAGTCACAAGGCCAGATCAGATTTAAGAGGCAGGAAAACACATTTCTTAAGGGGCATCATGATGGGTAAAATACATCCCGACCATATTTTTCTAATGAAAATACATACTTTAGATAATGATATCCATAATGGTAGCCAGCTGTGCATCTCAGAAGCTGTGCTGGAGGAATATAGAAAGTAATTTTGGTATTCACCCACATGGGTCAATGAACGGCAAGGTGTGTGCACATGTGTCAAAAGTGTAAATGGGTGAGTTTAACCCACATTATGCACCATGATACATTTTGGTGTATTATACTTTTTAAATTACATGTTTTGATTTGATTTTTCTTGTAGAATTAGCCCAATTAAGTACAATGTTTCACAGAAATCTACTTTTACAACTTTGGGAGGAGGTTGAAAGTGAGTCATCAGATGATTCAGCTACCAGTGACTCGGCTCATGTAAGCCAAAGAAGTTAGCAAGATATGACAGAGAAGTACAAAATGAAGATGTTGATTCAGATGAGGAAGAAAACAGTAATGTAAATAAATATTTGATGTCAAAATGCTATAAAATGTTCATGTATACCTCAACAATCCAAACTAGAACTAGGTCAGAAAATGTTATTAGTTTCTTGCCATGGGGAAAACTTATTGGATGGGATACAAACACTGTACTTAATGTTGAAAATTGTAATGGACTATATGCCACGATGTTGCCAGGCATTTTACTTCTAAAACATGGCTTGCCAATTAAACATTACCAGATTTGGGGTTGTTTGCATCTCCTTCTGGAGTTGGATTACAGGTTCTTCCCATCTTGAATAAAGAATTGAAAGAAAAGAGCAAAGAGCAGTGGCAATGTTTACTCAACAAGGTAAAAGTGAAGAGTGGGAGATAAACTGGCTCAGCAGAGCAAGACTGGGCTGAGTGAATAGAGAAAGAGGGTAAGAGTGAAGATAAAAGCACACACTGCATCTGGATAACACAACATGGTCTATAGTAGAAAGCTGTAATAGCACTGGTTCCTCATGGCTGCCTTTCTTTTACACTATCCAAATCTCAGAAACTCATGAAAACTTCTATATCCTGGTACTGAACGGTAGGGCTGAGATCCCATTTCTCAGGCTGATGTCAAGTCTAGGCCATTTTATTGAAAGTCTACTCATGTCTTCACAAGAAGTCCCCATGCAGTGATTTGGAAGTTTCTGGGATTTTATAGTAAAGAGGTCATGCCTACTTCCCCATCCACTTTTTGCCAACCTCTGATTTCCTATCACAACACAATATTTTGAAATACTCTAATAATGAGATACAAGTAAAACATTCTGTATACATTAATAGTAATACTCAAAAATGTATTTATCATTACATCTCACTATCTGAATTAAAAGCCTTCATAGCAGGACTTTGTCATTTTAATTGTCTGAATCTAAAGGATTGATGGAGAAGTGACAGATGTGATCTGAGCAGAGACTACTTTAAGGCCCTTCCACCTGCTATGCTTTTATACCTGCTGCAGATGTATAGTCATGGGTTTATAAGTCCCAATAAGCACAGCTACACTTTATAATTCCAAGTCATTATTCAGCCCTGCTCTTAACAAACAACGTGCAATTCCTTGTATATTCTCAAGTCCTCTCCCTGGCAGATAGCCACAACTCCTTTGTACTAAACTTTCCCCTTCAAAAGTCCTATCCTGATTTTTTTCCTTCCACAAATCCTTTTTTTAATGCTCATGATCTTATAAAGACCTTACAGCCTGTACGAAGGTCTGCCAATCTGGTCTCTAGGGCCAGAGTCCTTCTCAGGTTTGTTCTGAAATAAACTTGTCCTGTTGAGCTTGTAGCTATCTCTGTTTCTTTTCATTTTTCCAAATACACTCTCTTTCCAGGTCTTGATTAGGACCTGGTCACCAGGGCAGACTTTGGGCTTACAGTTGTTGTTAGTCCCTGGGAGTGGAAGAATCTTATCTCCATATTTCTGGACAGCCTGTTGGAAAGTTCCTAGATGGGTCACATATTAAAGGAGTTGGAAGGTTTGTGTCAGTGGATAGATCAGATGTCAAAAAGGGCCTTCTATAAAGTATCTCAGAAGGGTTGAGATTGTTTGGACTTATAGGCTGCCTGAAGTCTCATTAAGACAATTGGAAGGAGATATTGCCACTTATGGTGGGTTTCTTGACAGTTTGGCTAACATTCATTTGAGAGTTTGGTCAGCTCTTTCAACCTTTCCTAATGATTGCAGTCTCCAATCAGTGTCGAGGTGATAATTCCCAGTGCCTTGGTAACTTCCCATGTGATTTACGGTGTGAAAGAGGGCCCAATATCACTCTAGATAGATCAAGGCAGTCCAAACCTAGGGATCATTTCTTTAAGAAGAACTTTTACTGGCTCCAGAGCCCATTGTGACCTCGTAGGGAAGGCCTCTATCCATGCTATAAAGGTATCAATGCATACCAGGAGGTGTATACATCCCTTATATGTAGGTATATAGGTGACGTCTATTTTCCAATCTTCTCCAGGGGAGGACCTATTCCTTTGGTCACATAAAGGAGGAGGGTGAGTCTGTGGGTTATGGAGGGCACAGATAAGACATGCCTTGAAGACCCAGGATACAACATTGTAGACAGCATGCACTATAAAGAGCCTATTTGCCATAGCAGTGGTAGGTGACATCTTGCCCTAGGTGGAAGGTAGCCAATTGCTCTCATTGTAGCAAGAACAGCCAGGGTCCCACATACCACCCAAAGAGGGGTATCCGTATGAGGCAGAAGCCTGTCATTCCCAAGAAAGCCCTCAATTGCTGTTTGCACTCTGGAAGACCCAGATGGCAAATTTCCTGTGTTTCCCTTAAGGACAGTTGTCCTTTGTCCCAGAGTTAAGACATATCAAAGATAAATCACTTTTGCTGATAAATCTGAGCCTTGTGCTAGGACATTTTATAAATCAGTTTTGCTAGAAAATTGAGAGTCATAATGGTACTCTTATCAGATGAATCTTTTGTGGGACTACAAATGAGGAAGTCGTATACATATTATAATAGGCCTCCCCTTTTGAATTTTAAGCCTCTCAGGTCTTGAGACAAACCCTGGAAAAACAGGTGGGAGCAATCTCCAAAGCCCTGATGCAAGACAGTCCAGGCATACTGTTGGCAAAGTCCCATTTGGGTATCTTTCCTTTCAAATGTGAACAAATATGAACAAATATTGAAATCTAGGATTCACAGGCATAGCAAAAAGGCATCTTTGAAATCAAAGACAGAGAACCATTTA